TCATCGTTTCTTTTGTTGTTTTTTTTTTGGCACATAATATGCAGCAAACAAACGCGAACAACGGTGATATCGCCTTCGTCACTTAAAAAAAAAAAAAGAAAGCGTGCGCTGCATCCGTTTTGCTGGGTGAGGCGCACTATAGGCAAAGAACATTGTCACGTACATAGGATGGCCCGCATTCAAATGCGCGATTCCCGAATCAGGTGCCAGTTTCAGGAAATTCGTTTTCTAAAAAAAGTAAACGCCTTATGGTTCTATAATTTAGCACATATCATCAGGGTACAGAACGTGGCATACGTTGAAAATTTTACTGAACTTGGTGGATATTGAAAAATTACCGGAGCCCCCTTTTAAAGGGCCCCTGCATCATCTTTACCAAGTAATCCTCTTGTGGCTTCATTAAAGCGTTTATCACGTCACGAATTGACTGCCGCGAACATTTTAGAATCCGTTCAATACGAGCGGAGTTACGAAGATTTGTCGAACGTTGCAAGTGCTCTCTCGTTCCAACGAAAACGTTCGACGCTAATTCAGACGACGGACTGAATCCGGATGTGGCGGGACGGACGGCGCGTCACGTGACCTCACATCAGCGATTGCCCTCGTACGCGACTCGTCCGCGTGGCTCGCGGACGGATGACCGCAACCTGTTTCTCACATCGGGATTCTGATGGGAGAAAGCCGATACTTCAGCGGATTGGCTTAGGGTTTTTGGCAACCAGTACACTTTTCGTCTGCTCGCGGCATGTCCTCCATGGCTCGCGGACAGCTGCATGACAGGTCGGCCTCATCTACGTTTGAGCATGAATTACTTAGTTTTCGGGGGCTTTGTTGTCAGGTGATTAAATGCGCAGAAATCACTTTTGGTGGTTCGGGAAATGTCGCCGCCGTCATTTGACACGTGAGATTCTTCGCCGTCATGGTGATGAAATATTCTAACTTCTGCAACCGGCGACGTGCCGCTTCTAAAAAAAAAAGGATGGGAGACGCGTTCCGAAGTTTTACAAGTGGAAAACATATAATTGAAAGAACATTCTGCCAGCAACTCCCTTTTCTCCTGAAAGAAGAGCACTCCTCGTTAATTTGTCACAACGCGACAGACATCGCAGCCAAGCGTCGCTTCTTGCGGGCATCCATGTTGAATACTTTCAAAACCGGGCCCTGCTCCCCAGCGGGCGCAGCCTGCGCAGGTGAACGCCGAATCTGCTGTCGAGGGTAATCCGGTCGTTTTCCCCTAGGACACCGTCCGTCGTGTGGATGCGCCTGCAGGCGGATCATCCACGGATTAGCCGTCCGCGTCCACGACAAATCCGGATTCGGTCCGACGTCTGAATGCATAGCGTGATTGCACGGGGGAAGAAGATACGTCACGCGCTGCTCGTGACTTTATCACCTTATCCCCCCTCTCTTTTTTTTTTTTTCGAATGCGTGCCTTTCAGTGCGATCGGAAGTTGCTCCGAATATTTCAAGCTGAACGGTCATGCCCCCGTGATCTCCGACGACAGTGTTGCTCCCGCCGACTGGTTCGCCCTACGCGGTCTTCTGACGCCGTGAAGCTCTCGCTGAGTGGCGCCCCGTCCTCAGACTGCCTATGGTCCCTAGATACAACAACTTGTTTCATCTAGGGACCTTAGGACTGCTTCGACCGACTCGCAACTTTCCTGTCTCCTCCTGTTTTCCGTCACTTGCCTTCACTATATCCATCTATTTTCTTCTACTTCTTTTATCCCCCCCCCCCCGCCTAAAAGGCACTTAGCCGTGTCGCTAATGGGCAGACAGATATTAGTGCCTTGTTCCTTTCCTTCAGAATCGCCACATACACGCGCCGGGCATGCCGCGGCCTCCTGCGGCGGCCCCAGTAACTCCCGCAATGCACTATCTTCAAATCAGCCAATGGCGTGATGCGATAGCTTTAGAATATAAAGCATCCTTTGTCGAAAGAAGATAAAGTGATTTTGAGCAAACATTGAGAATTCTTCGTAAATTACAGGCCACGGGCTGCTCTGCGATATTTTGCTCGCGTGTTCTCTGGAGCCTCGACCCCCGATCGGCAGCGTTTTCCGACCATGCTCCTAAAGCGTTGCAGGACCCCTTTAAGGTTCCCTCATGCGCGTTTATCGATTTGTATATTGCGATTCGCAAGACGGAAAAAACGCCATTTCTTGTTGACCCTTAGGTTGCGCTTGCGTATCGACCGCTTCAGTGAGTTCATTTCCTTTACTTTTTTAAAGTCTTTCTTGGGGACCTTCGATGCAAAAATTTTGGTCTGTCTGTCTGTACATTTGTCTGTCTGTCCCCTCTTAATTAACGGCACCGGGTACTTAACGCCGACCCCATCCGCAGCGCCCACCGATGTTGCTCAAGGTCTAGCATTCATAGCTGTGCAATCGTCAATTACTAAGCGATTATTGTGCGAGTCTGGGGCACCATAACAACACGTATATAATCTGCATGTGCATCTTTTTTTTTTGTGTGTGTCGAACATTGACCATTGGCGTCTTGCATCGGAGGCGTCGACACGGTGAGGCGGTGCAATACCAGGTTCACGCCCAGAACGACGCAGATTGACGTGCGTTTTCCGTTATACTTACCTTGGGTTATTATTGTCATCATCATTCGAGGATCCCCTCACACCACGCGTAAGAAGCACGCCGTGGGTTAGTTGGCGCCATCTATCGACTCCCTGGGCACTTGACAACAATTAGAGACGGTGTTTGTTTGTACACTAATTGTAGTAATTAAAAGGCTCTATGCCTTCTCTATCCGCATTTTTATTATTTTTTATACTGCCCTTTTTGGTTGTGGCTGTGCAATCATAAAATAAGAGCCTCCGAGATTAAAAGGCGCGCGCAGACCATCCACAGTGTTTCGCGACGTTGCCGTTAGGGCGACGAGTCGTGGCACCGAGAAAAAGGCCGATTAGTGGCGTTGGTTTCGAATGAATACCTTAAACGTTGGCTAATCATTTATTGGTAATTAATCACCGAAGGTCACTCGAACATTACACTAAGCTAAATTTTTTGCATTCATGAAGTTATTGCATTCATGAAGGCGTGCGCGGACCCTACTGCAGCATTTCGTGACATCGCCGCTAGGAGAACGTGCCGTGGCTCCGGGAAAAAAGGCAGATTGGTGGTGTTGGTTTCCGATAAACACCTTAAATGTTGGCTAATTAATTATTGCTAACTAAGCAACGGAGGTGAACTGGAGAATACCCCGGTCTTCTAAGTTCGTTGCATTTCTCGTTACATATACGAATGTCTTTTGTGTAGTTTTTGTTTTCTTTCTCCAAAGCATGGCATGACTTAGCTTAAGTATCTTGTAACATCAGGTGACGCACACAATCACCCCAAGCACAAAAGGAGGACTCAGGCATTTAAAATTGATAAAAGATACTTTATTACTTTTTTATTTCTTGCACAAAAAAGGGGGTAAGAAAGAGGCATGGTTACAAAACTTCGGCACATTCGCACCCAAGAGCTACTTCTCCGCTCTGCTCCAAACCTCGTATAAAATACATGTGATGCTACTACAATCAGCTGGCTGCACGAATGAAGCCTCGTATCGGTGGACCCACATTGCAATGGAAAAAGATGCATCCTCGATGATATTGAAGAAAAGGTGGCACAAAAGAAAAAGTTTTGTTCGTGCAAAAAAAAAAAAAGTTCCACCTGCACTCGTCACGGTAATGGCGTTACGAGAAGCGATACAAAAATAAACAAAAACAAGCACATCATAGACGTACGATGAAACGCGCATGACATGCAAGAGAAGCGGTGTGGCACGCCACAAACTGCTTTCGTCTTGCTTATGACAATGAGTTCAGTGAGAAAAGCTGCATATATAAAATACTATCGTATATTTCTCTTTAAGAAATGCAAAAAAAAAAAACACGGCTCCACCGCACGTTACCTTAAAAAGAAAGATACAGTAACTTTCACACACAAACACAGCCGTACACACGCACATACGTTGGGCTAAGCGAAAAAGAATACTGTCACAGCGTGAATACAGACATATAAAATATTTTTGTTTATATTTCTCGTCTCGGGCACCACGAGATCGTCGCGAAGTTCTAGAGCACACATGCGTCGAACGGCCAGCTGTGGGCTTGAAACGTTTGCGCACAGTTTAGAGTTGCTAAACACGTTTTTTTTTTAAGTTTCTTGCTGAGAACTGCACCCACTAAATCTTATAGGTGCAAGTCTGTCGCTAGAACTCTAAATAGGCAAAAAAAAAAAATGACAACGGAACTTTAGGCTTAGCGCTCTCTCTAAGCCTAACTATCGAGAACCGTCCTTAACAAAAGTCGAGGCAAGCGTACTTTTTCTTTATACGTTAATTTGTTCCTGAACATATATTCCTTCGTAGCAGCTACCTCTACTTGTCAATCTACTTTAATGCTATCCGGCTGCTTGCTTCATGCTTTGAACTTTGCAATGACCTTCCGCCGCTCACTGAAGACGGATGTGAAACTTCACGACCAGCTCGTGGCATTTTGGTTGATGCGCAATATGATAAGGCACAAAAAAGGCATTGTTTTTTAAATGGCAGCTTCATGTTCCTGTGAGCAAGTGTACAATGTCATATAACGTGTTGTCTTCTTTACGAGGGACGTTACGCACACAATGCTCGCTCACGTAGGCGTAATGCGCTACAAATGTCAGCCACGGACTCGAAGAGAGCATCTCGTGATAAGAAAACACCTGTCGGTACCTCCGTACTTATGCCATTTGAAAGTAACGCTTAACAAAACGAAAGCACCATCAAAGCTCTATTGTTTATTCTCTGAGCTGCGTTGATAACGTCGACCCCATGATCCGACTTTAAGTTACGCCTTTAGAGCCGGTGACGTGACGCACTTTAGAAGAAAAAAAAATATGTTAAGTTCCATTGAGGCCGTCGGTGCAATATACTTTGGGGTAGCTGGCATACAGCAGAACACGTCAAGTGTCTCCCAGTGTTTCGAGATGCAACACCAAGTCGCAAAGGCCTCTTGAGCAAGGTTAAACGAGCACTCTTACAGCACGGGTGACACTCAAAAACTAAGCATGGGCTGAATTCCCCCGGACGTTCGCCTTTTTTTTTTGTAGCTTTGTTTCTCAACATACTGCCTCATTATTATCAGGGTGGTGGGTTGACAGTAGTGCAGAGTTCAAATTGGCGACAGAGAGTGAAAAAAAAAAACTAAATCGGTTGTGGGGTAACGGTTTGTTGCTGGGTCAGAGGTCATGGAAGCTTGGTGGGTGGTCCGCTCGCCCCATCGCCATTGCCAAAAAAAAAAAAAAAAGGGGTCGACGAGGGGGTAAAGTGGGTCCGCCACGCCATTCTTCTTCATCTCCGACCGCTTCTCTTCCACCGCTTGGCCCCGGCTAAAAAAAAAAGTTGGGTCCGGCAACAACGCCTCGATTGATCCGCTGGCTCGACCGCGGAGGACGGACGACGGGAGCCACGGAAAAGCGCCCGTGGCGCCGCCTCACGGGTCGTGGGCGAAGTCGTTCTTGGGGTAGACCTGCGTTCGGGTGACGCGCACGTCTCCGGCCACCTTGCCGATCGACTGGAACACCGGGTCCAGCAGGGTCCGCACAAGGCCGCCCCACACCTGCGCACGTATAGAAAGGAGTCACGCAATGAGTGTTGATCCCTTACTTCAACGAGCAACGAGATTATATGGGTTGCTTTGTGGGCTTAGGCGCATAAGTGTGCGCATGGTTCCCCTTTATTTAGCGCTAACGCCATTGTGCACTAAAGGCATGCGGACCGCCAAAACGTGATTTTCTTTCAAGCTAAGCATTTATCTGGCATGAAACAACAGCTACAAAGTTTTAGGAACGCTATTTAAAAAATCCACGTCGCCGTCCAGCAAGCTGAAGATGCCGCCCGGGTCCAAGGACTTCGAGCGGTCACCTGAGGCACCACCATCATGATCGACGGAGAGTGGGAAGGGACAAGGATTAATACCCTCTTCCCCCACCTTGCGCAGTAAAACTGCCGGACTTTAATTAGAGTTTATTCATTGATTCATTCGACATATTCGCTTCAAGCGACGTAGCGTGTTTGTGTGCGAGAAGGGAAGTGGGTGTACCGTACCCTGTGCACGACGTGCAGGAAGACGTCGAGTACGCGCAACGCGGGCGTCAGCAGCCACACGTGCACGAGCGAGAGCAGGGAGAAGAGGAGTCCCCAGGTGAGGCCGCAGGGCAGCGCCAGCAGGGCCGCCAGAAGGCGGTAGCACCACAGGCGCGTGGTGGAGAACACCAGGTAGGTGAGCTTCCAGGCACCGTCGAAGCCGTGGCTCGCGTCGGGCTCGGCCAGTACGTCTTCGAACACCAGCTGCAACAGAATGGAACCAAGTTTAGTGTGCACGTGGAAACCACGGAAAGTGGTTCTAATACCACGCAAAGCACGGAAAGGATAGGGCACGTTGGGGAAGAGTTTAAATGGAGGAAGTCAGGAATAACGAGAAGTTACATCCAGGGGCATAGCCAGGAAGTGGCACACCGAGCTCGTGCCCCCCCCCCCCCCCAAATTTTTTTCACCATGACATAGAGAGCAAAAAATGACCATTGAGGGGGTTGCCCTTCCCGAAATAATGGAGGTGCCCCCCCCCCCCTCCCCAAAAAACTTTTTAAATACGGCCCTGGTTAAATGGTGGGCTCTGTACTACAGGAAGGGAAAGACGGACAATAGAAGGCGAGAGATGGCTTTATCTATCTATCTATCTATCTATCTATCTATCTATCTATCTATCTATCTATGATAAAGACAACCGGAAATAATAAACACGATGTAATGTGATCATGCATTGCAAGTATGTGAATGCCAAGAACGGGATATTAAAGTAAGGCAACCGAGTCCGCGCAAGCCGACAATATGGAACGCGGTTATCATTTCTGTTACGCCAGCCTGACCATGCGACGGCTTCCGTACGATCTGAATGGTTTCCTTTGCCCAGCAGCTCCCGTCAATCTGACATATATCACAATGTTCAATTAGATCCCTTATCGTAGCACAATGAAACCAAACAGCGACGTCCGCGAAATGGAGGAGGCCGGCGCCACTCCCTGCAGCATTGACAATACGGGGAAGCTGTTGACACCCAGACAGGAGTAAAAAAAGAATCCTTATTGTTCCGTCACACAATTCTCGCGCGTGCCTTTGATGTAACACTTCTTCAGAAGCGCGAACACAATGTACCACCTTTATTGGCGTAATTCACGGGTGCCCCGGTCATCATCACCAACCTCCCTCGGTTTGCCACGAGGCGAAAAAAGAAGCGGCTCCCCCTTCCTGTACAATCATCTCGGTCACGCGGGGCACGTCATCGCACCCTACAGGGCGCGAACACCCGAGAAGAAATACTATAAGTCTTGGCTTCGCGAGAAAAAAAAAGGAGGGGGGGAGACTGGCGTCTGTCGGGGAAAGCGCCGAAAGGCGATGGCAGAAGACGACGACGCGGAAGAAATGATACCCTTTTCAAACGGAGAAAGAGAGCGAATGATCTCGAGCCAGACCGACCTAATCGACAAGACCGGGACGACTGCCGAGTCTCCGGCTGTCCGATCGCAAATAAAAGCGACAGACGTGCTCTTTTTGCGCGCAGTCGGCGAGCTCGCTCGAATCGGCGAGCTGTAAGGGTGGCGGCGAGCCCCTTTCTTCGGTCCAAAGTGATGGCATATAGTCGCGCAGAGGGGGGAGCAGAGACGACGAGCTTGGACAAAGGCGGGTCTTTCTTATGCGCGACTCGTGTATCGCTTAACAAGAACGAACGGAATTCAGGGTTCTCCCCCAACGCCCTTCTTCACCCTACTGCAACTGCTTATCTGGAGCTCCAAAGCCCGCCACCACACCGCCACAACATCGCCGCTCCCTCGAGAGAGTGAGGAACGTTCAAAGGCTTCCCGCCGCCGCACGCAGTGGCACCAGCAGCCAAGCCAGCTGAGTTTCGGGTTGAAAGAAGGGGGGAGGCCCACCTCGGGAATGCGAGGTCGGCCTCCTAAAGAACGTTTTCGAGGGCGGAAGCCGAGGCTTCTCTCTCGACGCCCTGTCTTCCGCCGTCGCAGTACGCCGTCACCATCCCCTCCCTCACCACGTGCTTGTGGAAGGCGACGTGTCTGCTGAACGTCAAGTGAGGAAGACCGCGATGACGGCAAGAAAGAGAAAGCAGCATGCGCACGAGGGCGTGAAGGGAGGCCCCCGCGTTTAGGAGCGGCAAGCCGACGGCTTCTAGATGTTTGGCCGCCCGTGGATGCTGAGCGTGCGTTGTTACATGGGCTGTTACATCTCTCTGTCGTTTGGCAGCAGCTAAGTGTCCAGAAAGAAAAGTCCCGAAACGAAACGTCAACGCGGGGGTTGCTTTCTCTTTGACAGGGACGATGCCGCGATGCGCCAGGAATGTTACGGCGGGTTCTACTTCCGCAGTGCGATGAATAGAGAGGCTTAAACGGAGAAGACAAGATTGATAAATTGATATATTTGAGCGGCCGAAGATGATTGGTTCGCCTACATGCAACGTATAAAAGCGCTGCTAATCTGTCGCCAAGCTAACCTCCCGAACTGTTCTGCTCAAGCAGCCATGGAAAAGAGGACACCGCACACGACGTCACAGATTTCGGAGTTTACCCACCAGTGTAAAGCAAAAACACTCCGAGATGAGTGATTGGGACATCTGCTATGCGTAGTCACACATACGTGTGGTGTATGTAAGCGGAAGTTGGTCGGTAAAGTATGTGCCCCAAACCCTCCCTCGCGCCGCACACCTTACAGCAGCTCTAAATTAACAGACGAATTTTGTTTCGCACAAGAAGCAGGTGACACTCGCATGAACCATGCGCGAACTTCCAAAGTTTGCTCAACGGTGTACACATGCTACGCATTCGACTCCTATCTCTCACCCTTCTTACGTCCAATGGAAAACTTACGCCTCTGCGACAGATCGTACAACTCTAGTTCACTAAAGATACGTCAACGCAGCGATGTCACAGACGCCGCCACGATAGTTCTTGAGATGATGCATAACAAAAGCGACGCTTTGGTTAAATCTGGCCGTATGTTCGTTTTTCTCCGGTGGTCTCTTTGTATCGCTGTCCAGAAGCCGAAGCTTAATGGCACTGCGTCTTAATTTCAGTTAGAGCCAATCGGTACTCCATGATAACCTGCAATTTTTTTTTAGAGAACGGACGAATTGCGCCCGTCCATGTTTCGTATGTTGTCTAAAAAATTTGCGCAAAGGGTAAGTACGCCGCATCAAAAAATAGAGCACACTGTAGTCTATGTGTGCATCAGGGAAATATTCCGTGGCCCCCACCTCCATGGCTACTTTAGATCAGCTAAAGTAAAGATTACGATTAGAATGCTTCTTAGTGACAAGAAACAGCCCGCAGAGCAGCACGATTAGACTCGGTCAGTATGTATACCGCACGCCAGTCAAGAGCTGTAGGTCCGAACGGAGGAGACGCAGACATGTACAGACCTTGGCCTCGAACGATTGCCAGAACGCGGCCTCGGGAAACGTCAACGCCCCGGCCGGCGTCGGGCCGTACATAGATACACAAGGGGAACCCAGAACCTCCTCGAGTAAATACACAGGACCTTGCACTTTCTTCCACCACGAGTATTTATATAGGATCGTGTATATGTTATCTTTACGTGCCATTGTCCTTTCTGGCATGGCTCGCGGGAGATTAGGCCGCCGGCGTCCCACCGTGTCGAAGTCCTTGTTGACGGCGACCCCGAGAGGCCTTTTCCTTGTCCCGTTTGTATACGGTACGGTATACATGTACGTGTGTACAGTGTTGTCGGTCGGCGACAGTCTGGTCCTTTGAAAACGCGTGATGAATGCCAGGATTGGACGTTTCCGGTCGAGCAAGCGCTGGAAGGAAGTCATGTAAACAAGCTGCAGCTCTTAAGACTGTGCACCGCAGACGCAATGTGCTGTTGGGGGCATCTGCAATCTTTAGGTGTCATTTTTGCAGGGATGTGACGGCCCCACTATCGTTTTTTTTACATACACGGCCAGAGCAAATGTTTCTGTGCTATCGCGGGGATGCCAGTGTCGAGAGTCCATAGTATTTTTACAGCACAGATGCATTTCTATGCATGGCGCTACTAAATGAATCATCATATCTCTTCCGATGTGAACAATTTCGCCAAAGCTCGTACCGCGTTTAAGTTCTTCCGGTAGGGTGCTTTGGTGGGGAAGCAAGTCGTAAAGACGAAACGTCGGTAAAAATGTGTGTGGACCTGCGTTCCGCCGTCTTTTCGCGGGTCATATACTTCGGGCTTTGCGTGGCTTGTTTCAGAAACAGCTCCACGAGGCGTTGTTTACATTTTACTCCCCAGCAGACTCACTCAAAGTGCTTGTAGCCAAGTTGAACGCTCCAAGTGGGACGCTTTCGAGTCGCTGACGAGCCAAGCGTTTATCGTTATCTCCAACGATAAAGCGGAGCAGCTACACGCTCACTATGGAAAGTACGTAGGTGACACGACATTCTCGGTCAAGACAAAGTCTCGTTGTTTTTCTCCTAGTCACCAACAACGATACGATAGCCTCAGCCTATGCGTAAGATACGAAAGTATACCACTTCCCGAATTCAGTGGGCATATTCTGTAACGTGACCTATCGGATCTGCCGACGAACCGGGATCGAGGATGAAGATCACGTGGTGCTTCCGTATCAATGGTGTTACCGTCAAAGGACAAACAACTTCACGCGAGCTGCAAGGTTAGACGTCCCTGTTAGGAACATTATGGTGAAAGCTTATGCCACCCGCCGTGGTGGTCGACTGGTTATGGCGCTTGACTGCTCAGCCGAAGGTCACGGGTCCAGTGTCGGCCACAGTGGCCACATTTTTGACGGAGACGACAATGCCTACATGTGCATATTCAAGAACCCCAGGTGGTTGAAATTCCCAAAGCCCTCCACTGCCATCGTTATTATTATTATTATTATTATTATTATTATTATTATTATTATTATTATTATTATTATTATTATTGAATGCTTATGGCAGCACACATCACATAAAAGTTGGATTATTTTTGCCTAATCTACATAAGATTAGGCAAACATGTCATCTTTGTTTTTTTACGTGCGCTGCCAAAAGCTGTACTGACTAGCCAACTAACTAGCCCCCCGGTAAGTCTTGATCAAGCTGTAACGAAAATGTTAGTGGAGATGGGAAGGAAGAAGGCACATCCTTGAACGTGCATCTGAAGCACCGCACTCGAATGTTTTCTGTTCTTTTGTATTTCACAATCATTTTACGCACTTCACGACAGCAGGGGCACACAGGACCCGTCTCCGCCCCCTGTGTTTAGGGGCGAAGCTCCTT